CCGAAAATTCACGCATTCAATCTCTATCTGTTTAATTTTACTGACAAGCAGACCTGACGTTTGACATTTTGACAATTCCCATGCAACTTTTGGCATCCAAACCCGCCAATTGCCTTAATGCTCACTTTTCATGCCATTCCAATCGAATAATTTTTGTTTCCCTACTCTTGTCGTCGATTGTTTTTATTGGAAGTTGGAAGAGAAAATATTTTTTTTCTTTGCTTTACCTCTCGTCCCTAAGTGAAAAAATAGCGGCATTCTCCTCGTGGTACGTAGTCGTCGTTGTCGTCGTCGTTGTCGTTACAGAGGCGGAGGCGGAGGAAAAAAAGCACCGCGCTCTACACACATGCACATTTCCGACATCGCGTTAGGAGGAAAATGTTTTTCCCCGATAAAATCACGGCGTCGGAGGTTACAGCACGGGCGACAGAAAAAGGAGGCAGTGATGGTGATTATTTTCGAGTCAAGGGTGAGAGAAAAAGGATTAAGGGAGAAATTCTCTTTTCTGGGTAAGACGAAATCCAGCTAATCAGTTTGATTATTTGAGTAAGTAATCTCCACCGTTAAATAGTTTAGCAATCCTACGCTACAAGTTCATCAGCTCTTCCTGGTCTAATGTCCTCAGCTGTCACCTGGACGCTTTGTTTCATTGAAGCTGAAAGTTTACGTAGCACGTCGACTGTGAGGCGAACTGTCGGCACGATAGATCTCACTGGAGAGAGTCAATCAACAGGCAACTGGTGGAGGAGTTCTTGGTATTTCCTATCCTTAAAAATCTCAAACTACATAGAGATCTCTCACTTTTCGCACATCCTTTGAAGGCGGAGCCTTTGAAGAGCGGAAAAAAAGTATACTTCAGAGGCAGAAAAAAATGCCTCCTCCTAACTACACGCTACACACACGGGGCCGGAAAGCGGTGCCAGAACACAAACGGCTTCTGTTCGTTCTGTGGCGCTTATTCCCAACCTCCCGCCCCGCATCCTGTGTCGCTGCTCGCTGGTTGGGTTTTTTTTCGTACTTTTTGGGTCGGACAGCCCTTTAACAAAGTTGCCTCCCATCGTCTATCTCAGCTGCCCGCCCTCCTCCTTCACTTTAACCGCGGTAACGCAAAGCGACGAATTTTTCTTCCAGTTTGGTTTCTGCGCTCTGAATGCTGCCGACAAAGCGGTCGCTTATTGTGTGGCTTGGATTGAAAGACCTTTTTTTCTTGGTTGGGCATATTTTTTTGTGCCCACAGGCTGGAATCACCCCTTGAGTTTTTTGAATAAACCAATAAGTAGATATCAAGTGTGATGGTGTTGAGTTTCGGCTCTAGAACCGGTTTATTTTGGCAGGCGATCCTGCTAGTCTTGATTATGCATGAGCCACTTCTCACGTGAAATGCAGGAGTGATGGAGGCACAGCGTGGTGGAAAATGAGGAGATAAAGCTTGAATTGTAATAAGGGTGATTCTCCACGATTGATGCTGAACTCATGCTAATCACAGGTGAGGGGAAGAGAGGCTGTGGTGGAGGTGGGCACGATTCCACTTCAGCAGACCGTCTTATCTCTGGGTGCAAACAACCCGGTCTCGATTCCATACACCCATCCACTTGATTTTGTTTCTTTCCTAGCCGTCCCACTTCCCACCAGTCTCTTCTCTTTTGTTTTGTACATGATCGTATTTTATGAGATCGTCTAATGGCACCAAGTCAGGAAGCCGTAGTAATCGCCATCTGAAGGAACATTATCAGAAGTGTCAGTTGGAACAACAAATAAGGGAATTATTTCGGATAACTCGACCACCAAAGGTGGCTAACAGGAGGCTCTTGAAGGCACCCCAATTCTCGGAAAAGGTGGTGGATAATTTGGCTAAATTGGCAACCTTGGCACAAGTAATGACTGCTTCTGACTGCCAAGCCCTTTCTGCATCTCTAAACCTGATTATCTAAACTGGAGTGGTAATTAGCTACCGAGATCTCCATAGGCTACTGAATTTGCCATCAGCGACCACTTTTTTGCTTTCAAACGCAGGTAGTAGTGAATGGCAATTGTCTTTGACGATTGGATGGAGTTGTTGCAAGTTAAGCCTTTCAAGTGGGAACACATAACAATAGGCGGAAAATCCTTACTATCTCTAGCAAAATAGGCTGACTAAAAGGCGCTGTTATTGGTCGCCCTGTTTATGGACATAGGTGGACAAAAGTCGGTCCCAATATGCGGTTAGCCACCAGATGTGGCCTAATCTGATCGTCTAAAGAACTGCAAAATTTAAAAAAAGTCATGATTTGTTTTGGACAGAGAATTTTTGTGCTACTTGCTTGCATTTCAGCGGCCCTAATATCAAACTATACTGTCAACAAGGGTCAGGGCTCTAACTGCTTGGGTAATGAGAATAACAAATGGAGCCTAAATATGTAATCTTAGCCCTTACCGAGCGGATAATTTGTCTGCAACTCCAAAGGCATCCAAAATGTTTGTCCCCAAGGCACTGGAATTGCTTCTGTACCCAAGTTGCCTTAACACCACAAATGCGCCAACCTGCTAATGCAAGTGAGAGAGCGTCGAGCTAACTCCAGCACATATTTTTACCCTTGGGCTTGTTTAAAACTTTTCTCATGAATGCGCGTTACCTACCCACCCCATTTGTACACCCCACTTAATGTTTGCCTGCCGGTCCGGTCGGTTTCTGCTTTTTCTTTTCTCCGTGTGCGTGACTGGTAATTGATGGATGACAGGCAATGCGGGCGTCATTGCGCCCAGCCATTCCCTGCTATTGTGACAGTTTATAAGACTCTCTCTTGCAGATTAACACACAACCCTCTAGGTGCGATCAGCAGTCTGAGTCTAGTCTATCTCAAGCCGAAGTTTAGGGTGGGCTCCCTGTTTAGTTAGTAGTTTAGCCAACAAAGCCCGCCTAAATCGGAGGGAATCTTTAAGTTCTAAGCCCTCAAAAGCGGGTATAAATAGAGTCTACCTTGTTGTGCTATCCTCCTTTGGCAAGAATAACACCATCCTATTTACCTGGACGGTTATTTCCGGGGATATTTACACTTCAATCGACAAAATGATGAGGCATAAGACTAGCTTCCGTTCTTTTCCAAGTTTGATGCATGCATTAGGGGATAAGTATCAACTTCCTGTCTTCTCTGGTAAATATAACCCTTCTGATTTGTTTATACAAAGTGGGTGGTCAGTTTTTGAATGGAAATGAGGTCAAGTGCCTCTCCATCCCGTCTCTATCACACAGATAACACATGAATAAGCAGGTTTATGATTCTACCGGGTCTTCGTTGTTTAGATTATCTAATTGTACCCGCTAAAATAAACAAACCTTCACTGTTTTTCCTCCTCACTTCTAACCTACATTTTAGCTATGGAGGTGGAATGAGGCTCATAAAAGGTGTCCAACTTCCGTCTACTAATGAGGTCGGCCCGTTGCAATCAAAAGGCTTACAGGCTCATTTCTCATCACTTACCATTTTCGATGTATTCAGAAGTACCACTCCTGTCTCCGGGGTTTCTTTAATGGAATAGTTCCGGTAGATACCGCTTGGATTCCCCTCTCCCCCAAGCCCGCCTTCACGGAGCTCCCTTAACCCATCCATTTTTAAAAAAGGCTTTCTTGAATTTCAGATAAGAGCCGGGTCATTCTCCTCGGATAGCTTACCATGTCGTCTGCCGGGCTGGTATAAGCAGATAGTTACAGAACAGGTTATGCAAAACTCTATCACACTGCTCGTGCTTTTCTCATCTCCTTTTAGCTCTTCATCTTCAGAAGCTGACGCGAGAAGTGAGATAAAAGTCGCCATTCTTACATGCCGAAAAAAGAAATTACATTTCACTCGACTGAGAACACTTGGGCGTCAGCCACCCGGTTCCGAACAAAGCGCCTCGCCTTGCCTCCACTCGCCGCGCCACGCTGAGCTGCGCTGTGCCTCGGCTCCCCCTCCCAAGGAGAATAAAATATCGTCACTTTTGCCATCCTTCTTCCCTCTCCTTCCTTGCGTTCTGCCCTCCTTCCCACGCTCCTTAGGTCTGTTTACACAAGGGACCGTGGGAACGCCTTTAGCTGCCAACTCGCAACTCCACGTGTCATCGGTTGACAGGGTAGGGCTTTCAAGCTGTCAAAACAAGTGGGTTCTTTTGAAGAGATGAACATGAGTTTTGAACTGTTTGGCCCTACCCGATTTTTTATGTAGAAGATTAAAGGCCTTTGGGAATAACAAAAGCATGTAGACGATTCCGCAATCCTTCAGTAGGTGATTGATGTAATGAGCAACTGCGGTGGCTTCCTAACTCATTGACGCGGCAACCAACATCCACCTGCCACCATCCATCATCCCTGCTGAACCACGCACAAGTTGGCTACGTTTCTACTTCAGTAGAAAATCTTGTCTCTGAAGGCAAAAAAGTAAAACACGGTTGGAGCTTGAAATATATTTACCAATCCTGTCTCCCATAAGGAAGACCCATCGAAACACTTCATCCCATTTCCTCTTTTGTAGATAACTTGAAATCTCCCCGCCTCGACCCGCCACCCTCCGCGGAGTCATTCCCGAAGGCAACACAGGGGATGCTAACATTGAAGAAGGGTTTGTTATCAGTGTACACATTAAAGGCAGTGGCAGAACTGGTGAAGGCTGCAGAGTTCGTAAAGGCTGGTCCATTTTGTGGTGTTTTCCTAGCCCGTCCAAGGGGGAAGAGGGGAGAGGTAAGGGACTGGCATGAGTAAGGTTTCATGGCTCTCATGTATGGGCCGAATTGGGGAGGACTGAAAAGGGAACCTACGGGACCCGCCATGATTCCCTTATTCGCGTTGAATAGCTGTCCTTCGGCCATTTTTGATGCGATGCAGTGCACCGGCCTCCACTTGCCTCTTTGAAGAGCTTCATTGCTGTTAGTGAGATACGTTGCAGCTACCAGTACCCAAATCACTCCCGAAGCCTCCAGTTTTCACTACACAGTAAAAATAGACTTTCACTACAGTAAGGTGAAGTGGGCTGTATTAATAAATTCTCATGGGATTTGAAGTCTCTCATTACCACTCCACATTCACTTTAAGTAATCTTGAAGGAATCTCCTCACATAATTCCGAAAATTCTCCCATTTTAACCACCTTTTACTCACCAATTAAAACGTTAGTCGCCAAGGTAAGTAAAGTGAACGGAAGAGTTTGTAAACAATACTAGATAGACAAGACCGACTTCGAGGGTACTTATTCCCTCCGAAATTCAAAATCTCCTAATGGTTACTTATCCCTCTAAGGCAGGAAGGAGCAATAAATTGATGCATTGTCAGTTTCTTCGCCCTCCTCTTCCTCCACCTTGCGGTCCCCTTCTACTGAATCGACAGTTTTGACTTAGCTGTGGTTGTGAGTGTACTCTTGCGGAGACAACAACCCCCTCCCCCCTCCTCCCATGTGACACTTTGACTGTCAAAAGTGGTAAAGTTTTAAGTCAGAGTTGATATTCTGTTGCCTCGTTATCCATGCAAATGGGGTTGATTACAAGTAAACCAAATGGATCGCCAAACAGGGCTATTTTTGTAACGAGACAGTTGTGGAAGATTAATTAATCCACTGCGGAGGGAGGGAGAAGAGGTGGTGTGTGTGTGTGGACTTCACACTTTCCTGCACGCTACGCTTTGACCATCCAACTGGTATCCAGGCTCTTCATGGCCCTATTGTGCGTCTGTAACAAAGGTCATTGCGATGTTCGCAGGCACTGAGAAAAAGGGTAACGTTTTTCTGTGATCTTAAAGTCCAATAAAAGTGCAATTTCGGAAGAATTAAAAGTTTATTTTGTCCATTTCCTTTGTCTGTATAAGTCAAGGTTGTTTGGACATTCACCTAAATCCCTTTGTTCGAGGCTGACAAAAAGTGACCATTTAAAGGAAAATAAACCAATCAAAAGGGCTCTCCTAACACCTACGCCATCAGTCACCTCTTCTACTATACATTTGTTTAAAAAAATATTTTCTTGGTGTTTTCTGGTCTTTTCAGACGCGGTGGGCTGGACTGCCTCTTGGCGACATTATCCTTCTGACCTCTCAACCCTTCAAGAATCTGAATGTACCTCCACACTACCACCTCAGGAAAGCCCTGATGGCTTAACTTTGGCGGTGTTGGCAAGTGCAACTCGTCAAAACCTCGGCTTTGCAGAAAAGGCTGCATCTAGTGATAGTATCAACAGAGAATTGGACATACCTCACCATAAAAAGGCGTGTGTTTATTTACATCCACGGGGTATCCTAAGGGCCACACCACTCTGTCCACTCAAATGCTAGTACGGATCGTCGCTTTCATGTAAGAAGACAGAGGGACAACATCGTTACACCCACTGAGGCATACAACTGAAGGGGAGGAGCTACCTGACCGCTAGTAAGGGTAAACGTTTTCCACTTCCCAGCATCAGCTAGATGGATTAATTCATCGTCGGCAGCATGTTGTTGTATTGAGGAGAAAGAGCAACAAGAAGCCGACGCCATTCCCACGCTCGTACAAGACTGCACCTAAAGTGTACTGCAAAGTGGGGGGACAAAAGGCAGAGGAGGAGGAGGAGGAGGAAGAGGAATATACCCAATTTTCTCATCCCATTTTCGGGTCAAACATTCGCTGAAGGCAAAGCTGGGCGAGAGCGGGGGGGGGGGAGGGCGGGAGAGTGGAGATTGGAGTGGAGCAGATGGGAGAAAAATGTAAGGAAAGTGAAAGTTTTTATTCACTTCTCTTTCCCCCCTCGACATTTTGAAATGTTGCCGCTAGTGTCGCCACTAGCGTGAGAACCACTTGGTTGGCACGTAATGGACCGGTAAGAAAAAGAATAGGGTTTGATTGATAACTAACCGGTGTCAAAGCTCTGCCATTCATTATAAGTGAATGGGATGTTGCCAAGGTGGCGTCACAATTACCAGTAAATGCCATTTGTGATGGACAAACCATGAATTCAGTCACATCTTTTATTTTCTTGTTCTGGCTTTGTCAAGACACTCTAGAAGTGGGATTGAAGGCGTGACAAGGTAAACGACTGACCTTCGCCGACTTCCTCCATCATAGATGTAGGCTTTACCGTTTTCTAGACTAAGACAACGTCTTCATGCGTCAAGAGACTTCAAATTTGTGAGGCCTTTCGCAGTCTCAAGGGTGGACAATTTCCATCTCCAAGTGGATGATTTACTAAGGCAACTCCTTTTATCAAGCCTCTTTCAGGTGCAATTGAATTTGCCTCTTGCGGTTCCTCATGCACCAATTCCATAAACGATTTAGCTGGTAGCTCTATAAGTTGTCATTTGTCCAACTTTTCCTTCAGCAGGCTTGTTCTTAACCGCCGTATCTTTCTTCCACTATTCTTGAAGTCCTTCCAAATACAGTTGAGCGGAAAAACCTCAGGTTCTCAGTTGAAGCTGAATAACCTTTTTTACTGAATCATTTACAAACGATGGTCCGCAGAATTCTAACTGACCATCCAAATCTTATTTCACCAGAGGCGTGGGTACGCCAGATCTCCTCGTTCATCCAATTCTTTGAATATATCGCCCCCATCGAAGGCCTTCTACCTTCCAGGCCTCCGTTAGACCGGCTGTCCAACGTTAATAATGGACAATTCCACCAACTCTTCCCCTTCATCAGATCCTGCCGAAAGCAACAAAAGTCACTGGACTACCGAAATTCCTTCCATCGTGTCTCCCTTGTCTCTTATGTCAATGAGCATTTTATGACCCAAAACAGTAAAAAAGTTGGGGGAACACCTCGGAAGCTGGGACGGGTACGGAGGTACTCCGAATCAGGTAGCCAGGGGCTCCCTTTTCTCCTCTTTAATCTGTGCACTTGCAAGGAAATCTTGCAAGTAGGAATGAACTCGCAAATCCGAAGAAAGGTAACTTCTTCTGATAAAATACCTTCCTCAGGTTTTTGATTGCCTAAGAAATCTAGGCCAAATGCAAGTAGTCATACTATCAGGAAGTCACCTTGGTCACTCTTAAATGATTTTTTTAACAAATAAAATTGTACCCACAGTAGGATACTTCCTCCAGTGAGATTTATGGCTTTCCTGGACGTCTTTCTCAACAAGAAGTCATCCACATGCATCATAAATTTTTCTACCTTGTTTTCCTTTAACTCTGCGGTGTCTCTCGTGGACTTATAAGCCCAGGAGAAGTGGCATTTTGCGAGCCGAGTGGTGGGGACCCCCCCCCTAATCCAGGTCAGCTTCGAGTGCCCGTGCACGCGCACCGCAGTCACGTGCCACACCTAACCGCCTCCTCCTCCCTGTCCTGCCTTTCGCTTCCCCTTCTCTTTGTCCGGCGGCGCAACATCAAAGTGCCGCGCCAAAGATGGGGACTAGAATATCCGCAACCACTGACGGCCTGCGTGCCTATCATTGTGTGTATGTGTGACCCGGTTTTGAGAAACAGGGCCTCTGGTACCGCCTTTGCTTTCAAGTTGTAACTCCATCGAGAGAGGTGCTCGGTTGTCAAGTCTGTGGCAGTGGTCGAAGGGTGAGTTTAGAGGACACAGCACAAACCCCCAGATGTGCCGCTTTGTTTGGCGAATTGGACGTACACGTCAAAGAATGGATAAACAGGTCGCAATAATGGGGCGTTTACAATAAAAAAATTTGATGGATGAAGATTAGACTTTTAGTAAACTTTTCTCAGGTAAAGAAAAATATGGACTTAATGGATTGGAGTAAGTCGGAAGACGTTTAAAGGAGCTGAAGGACCATGATCAGATGGTGTGGTGCGTGTCACTCACAACTGGTGTGGAGGTCAGGCAAGTCTGAAAGAAGCTTTATCATCTCAACTACAAAAGAGCTGTGGACCTATTGGCAGAGGCTCACGGTACTGGAGTGGATATCAGTTCATAAAGAAGGGAAGGGATCTACGTGGTTCCAGATCATCTTTCTTTGAGCCTCGAACTCGTGGCTCTTGATTGTTTGGCGTCTCCGTCGGCTGGCGATGAGCTGGGGGGAGAGTAGTGATCCTAGGTCAGTGTCTTTACAGAAGTCATCCACTTGAAGGAGTTGGCAACTTATCAATCATTTTGAATTGCTGTGGCGGTTATTTAAAATTCAGAGTTGTGTGGGTTACTACCTGCGTGGCGTTCTCCGGTAAGATTATACGGGTCCAGAGGCAGCAGTGACGAGGGCAGGACATGAAACCGGGCCAACAAACAATTTAAATAAGCAACCACTCTGTGTCTGTAGTGATTAATCAGGTGAACAGCCAGTCCTACAGGAAAGTGGTAGCAACAGCAATATTGGTGAAGTCATTGTCCGCTGATGTCAACAATGGAGGCGACGGCGGTCCTTTGAACACGACCTAGTAATGACGACAACACTGATTTAAACAAAAGGTAAAAAAAGACATAACAGCACTGACGTCATCTTTTTCAAAGTGAAATATTTAGCTGTCTACAAAGTTGCCTATTGCAGACCAATTCCTTCGGATTATCGTTTTTTATGGCAGGCGGACCCAAATCACCTCCGAGACCATTAAAAATCAGTAATTCATCGGCTAGTCACTAGTGGAAATAGTTGTCTGGTCAGGCAAAGGCGATCAACTAACTAAATTCACCTCAAATTATGGACGAAGTTATTTTTTTCACCTCCGTCTTATGTCGGCCACGCAACTTAGATCAAAGAGTACGTCAAAAAGGGCTTTTTTTGGGGAGGTGGTCAAAAAAACATTCCCGTCTAGACGACAAGGTAGCTTGAACGTGGACACAGATTTTTTTGTGCATCCGCTGTCATTGATATGGGGTGAAGGGTTGTCGGCCAAAATGCGAACGGTTAATCAGCCGCAGCGGGCACATGCAATCCAATTCTAATGCCGAAATCAATGACGGTAACAAACAAAAATAAAGAAAAACGAGCAGTAAAGGGAGAATGAGCTTCATGTCACACAGGAGAGTGGTATGGAGTATTCTAAATCATTTATGGGCTAACGGAAGCAAGGTACGACCAACATACCGCGCAGCCCAAAGGATGTCTAAATCTCTTTAGCCAAACAGCTGTCATTAAGCTGTTGTTGCTCTGACAATGCCACAGAATTTGGAGGAAAGCCCACAAGCACAAATTAAACAAATAATAGCAGTCTAATGGAGGTGGAGGGAGAAACACTGGTTGGTTGTGTGTGAGGAGTAGCAACGGATTGCACGCAAAGAAAACAAAGACGTCTAAACGCTCTTCAGTTAGCTTCACTTCCTTGCAGAGGAATTAATCCTCCGCAAATCTAATTTCCTATGACAAATCAAATTATGTCAGTGGGCGACTTTCTGTACAGGAAATTTAATAAAATGCCTCTATGAGAAAGAGGGAACTTCAAATAATTCAAAGTCCACCGACCTATCAAACGGCGGTTAGAGGATACCAGGTGGAAGGCTGAACCTTAGAAACGGCTACCTCGATTTGGTCATCCTCTAGACTTGACCTGACTTCCAGTAAGAACATGAAGCTCCCTTCGAGAGATTGCCTAATGCAAGAAGAGTGGAAGGGAGGAGGTTGTTCTTCACCACCTCCATCTACATCTGAATCGAAGTCCTTTATTTGCACCTTCCTCAAGGCACATATGAAAACGTAACTCCCGTTTTCAAGAAGACGTCCGCCCTGTCGTCCAGAGAGCCACAATCACCCATTTTTTTTCAGATAAATCCAACATGGGTGTAGATTTTATAACATCTGGACTTATAAACCATGCATTGCCGCCATGACCACCACCACTGCCACTGCCACTGCCACCTCCATCACTCCCTCCCATTCTATCAACAGCATTTAGGGGAATTTTTCAGCTAAATACTGGTAGTGCCGCACTGTGTCAGCCACTTCCCTTGACGCACACGTTGATGACAACGTCTGGGACATGAAAGGCAAGGGGGGATGGCGAGGTAGATGCGGAGGGACGTAAAAAGGTCCCCCTGGGGTGTTCGAGTTCAGTTGCGCAGGCCAGAAGCGTTTGAAGTGGCGCGGACGCAGTTTTGTCGCATTTTGTGGTGATAAGGCGTGGTGAAAAACCAACGACTGGAACTGATTTTTGCTTCAGTTGGGATAGTGTGGCATAGCATGGGGTGGAGCGGATTGGAATGGGACAGTGGTGTGTCTTTGATCTCCCCTTTGCAGTCGTTTCTATCAAAAGGCAAACTTAGCGGTCTGGTGAAGTTAAAGATCGCATTCACTAAGAAGGCCACTTCAAAGGGTTGCAGATCATTGCAAATAGAGTTCCATCAGATCGTCTCATTCCAGGGAATTCCGCCAAAAACCACAGTTTATTTTAATCCTCCTTAGCTCCCCATTCTCCGATGAAACTGCCTATTTCTAATGCACCCTCCTCAACTTTTCACTTGAAAAATAAAACACGTCTCTTGCAATGCGATCAGCTAGTCATGGAGATGCTGAGATTGGGGAAAATAGCGGTGGAGGTCAAATTCCTCAAAGTAGAGTTTTCTCCACTCAATTTTGTTAGTTGACAAATATGTTAAGAGCATGATGACCTTAAATGACCTTAGTGGGTGAATGGACTGTCTTAGCTAGGTTATCAAAACAGGCTTGTTGATTCTTACAGTGCATTTCACTCCTTTTTTTTCTTTTGACAAGAGTTTTCACTCAGATTTTGTTAAAAATACGACATTCAAATTCCGCCAATAGCCGCAAAGACTGGGGGATTTGACTGCGTTGCTATGGTTGCTTGCAATGGGCTTCTTCAACAGCCAGTCAGCATGCGAAATACCTCAATCCAATCGCAGGATAGCACCAAACGGATTAAATGGAGCCAAATTTGTGGATGAATTCGAAGAAGAAGTAGAAAAAAGCAGACTAGATGACTGGTTTGCCTGTTCACATGGCTAGTCGAGTTACCTGGCCGTATGCCAAATTTGCTGGTGTTTATGCATACCTGTCAGAATTCATTAGCATCAAATTTCTCCACCCTTTACGGGCTTTTAGGGGGTCTTTGTGGCTTCATACCTAGCCAACTTGCTAGCTAACCACCTAGGTAACTAGTCCACCAATTGCTTCCTTCCTCCTCTTCATGTTGCTGTCATGCTGTGACAAGGCGGCTAAAATTTGCTGTGCTCCAGGTTTTAGCTAAGTGAACTGTCCCCTGTCATTGGAAAGGAAATTTAACTACTGAGCTAGGGAATATCTGATTCCACGCTCCGGATAACCCTGACTATTTTACGAGGCATGCGTATCTGAAGGTGGCGTTATTATTAGCTTAGGGAAGATATGGAGGACGAGCAATTGATGGTACCTCGCCACCCTCGTGCACGCCAAACCGTACGGGAACGAAAATATTCACACAATACTACTGCCTAGCGTTCTATCCAGACTCAAATGTGTCAGAAAAAGCGGCAACTTTTTTCTTTTCTCACTTCGACTCATCAGAAGGCCTTCCCGTGGTGGGCCGATTACTTATCCACCTCCCTCCGCCAGTATGTTGGCACATTGTCGGCTTACCCTTTCCCCCCCTCCCCTGTGTGTCTGTAAATTGACGGACGACAGGCGAAGGGGGCGTCAAAGTACGCATTCATTGTTCGTCTCCTGTTCTTGTGGCAAGTGATAAGACGCGCCCTCTTTCAGGTTGGCGGACCGGTGAAGGAGTCATGGCAACTGGGGTGTGGCAAGGCGCCTCTGTTGACATGATGGATGGTGGAGTCCGGTCTTGATCAAACTGAACTTTATGCCGCGATTGTAGTGCTTTGAATGCTTTGAAATCAGCGGTCTGTCCGACGATGTCGGGATGTCATCCAAGGCAGTAATGCAGATTGTTTATTCAAGGATGATTTAAAAATCAGACTAGCTGTCAAGTTCAAAGGTATTTCCGGCCCGTTCCATAGTAAACGTCCTTTCTCTGTGGCATTCAATCAGTGCAATTAAGTCGCCAACACTGTCACAAATGCATCGCCCAAAGAGGTTTTTAGCTATTACACTTGCACTGTTCTTTATAGATGTATAAGAAGCCTTGGATACCGGAGATGGGGATCTATGAAATCATGGGAGATTTAAAAAATACAGCTTCCATTTTGTATCACCTCTTAAATCACTTTTTAACAGTGGCACCCTCCGAGACCCATTCTTTATCACCATCGTCCTCCTTTTCTCTACCCCGACCATTCAGACGTGGAACGTGCATCTGGTTACATAGATGAAGAGCCACAGAGCCAAATCACGGCCGACACCTCCATAGGACGTTGAGTCTACAATAGCTAGTCCACATTCCCAATTTCTGTTCCCCTCAACTTTAAAATATATTCCGACAAGGTTTTTTCTTCCCTTCTAAAATATGTCAATTTTGATTCCTCAGCGTCAGTGAGGCTACTTCTGTGGGGCGCACCAATCTTCCCTACGGCAGGATATGGTAGCCACAAAAAATTTGTAACCTTTTGGAAAGTGGTAAATGAAATTAGTTTACCACTGTACCTAAATCAAACCATTTTATTGCAGAACAAGTAACTGATGCTTGTGAGGCGAAATTACTTTGGTAAAAGCAATTTGAGGCTGTAGGTTGGAATAGTGTGGATTCAGTTATTTTACACGACTTGGGAAATACAAGTGGTGCATTGTAAACGGATTTTGACCCAACATATGGGGTCTAGCTGGCAAATACGGAAAGGAAAGTGTGGAAACCCCGCATCATCTCAAATGCAGCCAAATTGACCCTGAATACATAAATCCTCCACTTTTCCATGTTCCACTACCGCTTTGAAGTGGCCTTTTACCCGACAGAAATCTTTTAATCCACCAGATCACTAGGCGCATTCTGGATGAAAGAGACGCCACTCTCCCTTTCCACTCCATCCCATGCCATGCCACACCATCCCAACTGAAGCACAAATCAGTTCTAGTGGTTGTTTTTTCGCCACGCCGTACCACCACACAATGTGACAAAAATTGCGTACAAACCACTTCAAACGCGTCTGTCCCGTCTAACTGAATTCGAGCACTGAAGTGGGACTTTTTGCCCCTCCGCGTTCCCCCCGCCCTCCACGTCGACGTTGCCATCATTGTGTACGTCAATGGTAGTGGACAGCATGGACTAAAATCTGCACCCTTATTGGAATTAATTGGGCAAGTGGGTGTCTAGACGACAGGGTGGATGTCCTTCTTACAACGGTGAAAAGCAGTCGCATTTCGGGGTGTTGCGTGCATGCAGGAATTAGATGCAGACGCAATTAAAGGTGGAGGTGGGGTGGAAATTAACCTTTAAGTGCTGTGTCGTCTTTCCATTGTCAAAAATCTCATTTCCTTTATGGGCCATCCGAGCATCCTCTCCTTGCCAACTCAAGGGTAGTTTAAGGCCAGCATCTATTTCAAGTAGCAATTCTAGGCTAACCACTTCTGTTTTAGAGTAGGATACTTCTTCTATGTGGGACGATGATCATTTTTATTTCTACCTTCCCCTTTGGCAGTTCTCTATTATCTTCATCGTTGTCGGCTATGAAAGGCACCAAAGTGGTGCAGCTTTTTCAGACTTAAAAAAATATCCCATAGAGAAGGAGGGAAAGATGGGGGAGGAGGAAGAGGAAATTATCAAGAGGGCACTAGCCTATAAAGGGATGGTAACGCTTGTTTTACTTTGTGCGGACAGAAAAAATTTACCATGTCCTTGTCGGATTTGAACAGGGTGGTGCACGCAGAGTGTCTAGACGCAGAGGCTGTATTTTGAATGACATGGGATAGCACTGGAAGAAAAAAAAGATACTTTGATGTAATTTAATGTAAAAAAATAATCTTCCATCTAGCTTGGTGGCATTTTCACACCTGGTCAATCAATCTCGTATAAATTTTTTCTGGTCCGATGCCTCCCTAGAGCGGCAAGGATTTCTTTAACCCTAGAGGAATGGATAGAGGGGGAAAATTGTCTAAAACGAAAAGCTTTTTAAGCGCTTGAACTCTTAATCCTGAGAAAACTTGCCCTGTAAAGGTTTAATCAGCCACCTGAGATTTGTAGATGCTGTCACACATGTGTCTTTAGAAAGATGAGATTAATCAACCCAAAGAATGGTGCAGCCTTGCAACAACCCTCAAAGAAAGGAAAAATATAAAAAGCGACTGTCAAACTTGGTGACACTACTTAAAGAAGTACAGTTCATGATTAAGGAACAGAAACGGGAAGGTGAACGCATTTGAATGCTGTCCGAAGTTTTCTAAATCGGTGAGCAAAATATAGAGAGATGATTTTGTGCGCAGGAGGTCCCTTTCACAGTCAACATCCCAACAGCAGCGGTGGTAGCGGCAATGCCGAAGACGTCTGGAAGATGTGTCACTCAACAGCACCTGTGACAATCAATTCGCTTTCCACCTCCCGGTCCGCGCCACCGACAGTTGCTAGACCGGTGCAGTTGTCAACGCAGCAGTTACAAAATTCAAATCGGCCATCGTTCACCTTGTCCCTCTTCAATGTCATTGTGTCAGGAATTGATACCCCTTTACTTGGCCCCCAAATAGGGATGTAGAGCCAGGCAGGGAGAATCTATTATCATCCTGAGAAGTGAAGACTTGCTTGAGGTAATGCCTTATCACAAACTCTCGTTAATCCATGTAAGATAGAATATTGGAATATAATTACAGGCCTTCGTCTAAGGTACAGCCATTCCATCGCGGGTTTGTCGGAATGGATTATCATAAAAGCCCTAGAATGTGCTCCATGGACGGCATGCGTATTTAGCCAGCGGCATTAGACTTCCTCTTCAAGAAGTAGTCCAACTTTGAAACAACATTAGTGGGTTAAAGCCAGTGCTTGAGGGTAGGAAAGTAGTTTAAACAGTCAGGCAACGAAAAGGAATTTTTTAGCTGATAATAGAACATTTCTGTCTTCTGACACTCTTGAATATTTCCTAAAATCGTCGTGCCTTACTTTTGAAGGAGGAGTTATCAAAGTGTAATGTCGGACGAATGGGAGGTTTCGGTCGATCCTCCCTATAGCTAGGTCCAGTAACTGGTTTCAAGGTACTATACTTTTCAAGTGCTTCCAAACGGCAAGGTAGCCTTTATTCTCCCTGTTACTGTTTCCCTCTCGTGTTAAACTCACCTTTGGCTGGACTAACTTGATGGAGGAGATACGAAGGAGAAGTAAAAATTTACGTGAAGTGACCGGAAAAGAAAGCACTTTCCTATCTGGCCTAAATCAAGCTGATGAGAGCTGCAGTGTTCATTATTCATGGGGAGATACGTTATTCAAGTTGGCACGAATGCCCCATTTACTATTCTACAATCTCCAGTCTAGCTTACTATCCACTGTAAGAATGGGTTAAGAGGTTACTGCGTCTATCGTCTACACGCTAGCCCGATGATGGTTGAGTTCCCGTCCAAAGCATCACTAAGGCCGTCACTTCAAAAGCTCGCACTACCGCTTAGACCAAAGCAGCTCGAGCATCGAATGATTAAATCCACCGTCCGATCCGCTTATCTCCTTCAAAGGAATTTCAAGTAAAAAAAAGTGTTTCCATTCCTTCTCTGTGTACCTCAGTGCTGCTGTGAGAGCGTTTTCGGTGCATTTTTTCCTGTTCTGTTCTGCGTGTCGCGGTGTCTTTGAAACCTTACTGGTGGGGTGGAGCAAAAGACACACGTGGACGACGAGAGGGCCTGTTTTTTTTTTCTCCCTCCTCCTCTTCCTCTGTAGACCGGTTGTCTTGCGATTCGGAATGCCCACACCGACATCAATCAGTTCAGTGCGTGCGACTCGGTAAGGAGCTGCGTTTTTTGGTTCTGCTCCAGCATGTACAAATGGTTAGGCTAATCACCTACTAAGTGAGAGGTTAAACTCTCGAGGTGTTTGAGGAATCTCACTTATAGGAAAGCTCTAATTTGAGCAACTTTCATCTTTAAAAATGACTGAGATTTGGGCTTTTGGAGGTCTGTTCGATTGATAACGTTTCTGGAATCTCTTAAAACAGTCATTTTAGAATTACATAGTTAGATTCTTAAGCTTTAAACGTAGTAGAATGGCAAAACTTTTGGAAGAAGGCTGATAAGCCATTTACAGAAATGGCATGGTTTTATTTTGGCTACTTATTATCGCCACCACCTCGTACTCTGCGAGGCAACTGACAACCAGATCTGAGTGATCTCAAAACATCAAATTTTGAAACAATCCTCAGAAAATAGATTAAATGTGAGGACCTATTTAAGATTTAACTCAATTCAGCGCTATGCAGCAGTCTATCTGAGCTTCGTATAGCATAAAAAGACCTGGAGAGTGTCTCCTTTGAGTAGTAGGCACGAAATTCGGGGTCAATCGGAATCGACGATGCAGATCACTGACGTTGGACTCAAATGCCTTATTTCAGTTCTAGTTTCTAGACTTTGGATGGGTTTCATGGTAATGACTGTGCTGTGATGGTCAGTTCAGTAGAAGACTGACCACAGGAAGTTCGTAGATGTCGACTATTCAGCTACCCAAGTTCCTTAGCCGCCGATGGTTGTAGTTGAAATCAACATGGAATGTCGTTCCAGTTGTCACCTTTATCACTATCCGGTCCACCCTTCTGTGCATCTGCCTCTACTTGTTTTATAGTACGGAGGACTCCGACGCTACCAAACTCCAGTGTAGTGTTTAATTCCTGTGAAAAATCTCGCCAGCTGGATTTGACGACCTGAAAGCACATCTGACAAACCTTTCAATTAACTCCTTGAATAAGCATTTACCTAACCTCTGGCCAAGTGGTTGTAAATCGAGTTGTCATGGTAACAAGGGGGTTGATTTTTGCCCTGGGAAAGGGGGAGGATTTAGAAGTGGGAAAAGGGTTGACCGCCAGGCCACCCAAAGTTCAACTGTCCATCTCCCGAGGTTTAAATCATCTCTCTTGAAGGAAAGTGGGAGTTTAAGGAGGTCACTAATGGCAGGTTTTCATAGATTATTTTAAATTATTTTACGGTGCTTTTATAGGAAAAGGAAGAATTTCCAGCTGTACTTTCGAAACGGGTCAGTTAGGCGCCTCGTTATTGCACCTTCGCCGGATGGCCTGGCCTCCAGTTCATGACAGTAACGCATCCAAGTTAACATTGCATTTTCTGCCCGAGTAGAATAAATTCTTTCGCCTTTAGGAGAGTATCGGAATACTGCAGATGGAGTGAGTTTCCCTCTAAACTCGTAAATTTTCACTGAAAATGAAGTGTCATTTCAAAGCTTCCTCCATTTTAAGGAGGGTCAACTTTATGGCCTAATTTGTGTGCAGCCCAATGTTACTTGTGAGTTGTCAACTTATAAGTAGTATATTCTTACAGCCACTTGACCCAGGCTATTATAAATAGACGCTCGAAACGACTGGAGGTCAGAAAAGTTTGGGGGGAGGGGAGAGAGAGGGAGAGGTGACGGACCACCTACAAAGTCGTCACAGGCCTCAATAAATCCGCGGTCAGAAATATTAATAAGTGTGGTGCTAGCACCATAAAAGTTGGATCTCCAGACAGTCTAAGAGACTGGAATACCTACTAATCATAGGGAAGAAGAAAAAAGTGTCAGAAAAACTCCATGCCCTTTCATCTTTGGAGTATTGTAGTAATTTCATCATCAAA